ACCCCCCCATGCAGCCCGGGGCAGCGGGAATCGCCCCCCCACCCAGCAGCACCCGGTGAGCACTGAGGCTTTTCTTTAAAGTACCAGGAGCTGTGGCAGCCAGGGGTCCCCCCATGGTCCCCTCCCCTCTTCTTCAGCCCCACCTCCCCCACCCCTAGTATTTACCAGCTTGGAGTTGGCTGCAGCCACCAGGGACTGCCTGAATCATCGAAGCTCTCCAAGTCTTTTCCGAAGATTTGGAGAGCTTTGAATCGATTTGGACCTTTAAATTGGTCCCCCGATTTGATTCAGATTTGGCCACTGAAAAAAAGTTGGGCTGAAACTCCTCTGAATCAAATCACCACCCGAAGCTTCGCACAGCCCTAATATTTTGGCATGACTGAACCAAAAATTTAACAAGCCATGATGTGTGTTCTTCAAATAAGGGTCACAGCTAAAAGACACAGCTATTTTAACTCTCTACACTTTACTGAATTGCAAGGACCACAGCATACAAGACAAAGCTGTTTTATGTGCATCACAGCAGGTGACAGCTGTGCAACTCCTACACTTGTGCTCTTAAAAGACTTAGGCTTTATTCAGAAGCTAACCAGGAAGAGTAGGATCTCTCACTATTCTCCAAAACTGGCAGGGAGCTCTGCAATATTGATTTGTTTTGTGGTAACAGTCACTTTTGCTTACTTAAGCAGTGAATTTTGCCACAACATAAAATGATCAACATGGTTGTACATTACAAAGAACAGACTCCTCCACTAAAAGCTGTGGCTACTGTAAGTAGCTACCTGTTTAAAATAAAAAGGCACTGTTCCAAAATACCTAATATGCAAGCACTACATTACAACAAACAATATATCTTAAAATGGTGAACCAAAAAGAGTTCAGAAGAATCCCCATAAAAGGTAGAAGAGCAAGCTAATACCATTTAAAGAAAGACTGATAACAGAAGTATCTTTAAATAACTGGTCCAACACAATTCCAGTACTGGACAATGAGAAGGAACCAAGTCTACTGGTTGCTCTGGTCCCTTCCTTGCCACTGATAGGAGGGCTGGGGGGAAAGCTTTGGAGATTGAGTTTGGGGAGCAGACACTTTAGACAAAGTGTTCTTTTGGTGCCCATGCAGATTGGAATACCACAAATATGGATAATCACTTGAAACTGTGCATCTAGCCTGGCTGCTGTATTAAGTGCATAATGCTTATAGGTCAACAGAATACTCCAGGCAAGGTGGATAAAAATCAAAAAAACACCCAATCTTTTTTAAAATTTAAATCATATGTTTTTTGTTAAGATGCTTTTTTTTAAAACAATAAACCTGTACAAATAGATAGTTTCCCATCTGCACAAAAAGCTTTTGACATGCCTTCTAAATGCCAGGCATTGGTATTCATTACCACTTCATCCAGTAATTATAAGAAAAGGTCTTTGGAAAAGTTAGGTGACACACTACAATTGTGTACACACAAGTCCTGCTCGTCTGTGCTCTAGCACCTGAAGTATAGCTAGCAGCTTTTGCAGAGGGACGCATTTTCTTCTTTGTGAAAACAGCATGTTTGGGAAGGTGAAAAATAGTAACTCCAAAATGGCATCTGTAACATACTGGAGGTTGTCTGGTGGGCAACCAGACCAACACCAGCACTGGTGAGAAGGCAGCTGAGTTCTACAAAAGCCCTTGGGTCTTTTGACAACATCATTCTGGACCTTGTGGGGGATAGTTCTGTGCTGGATGCCAGGGACAATGTTATCTTCAACAGCGAGGGGCCCACCTCTACTGGCGGTGCAGTGGGTACCACATCATAACGTCTGTGCTAATATTAGCAGGTGCACTTCCTCCCACTACTAGAGTCAATACTGGAGAAGGCATTCTTGGTACTGGGACACAAGAACAAGTCTGCTCCTCGCTGCTAGCATTTGATTCAATCAGAGGCCTGGTTGTTTGCCTCAGATGACTTTTCATGTCTCCCTGGAAAATACAGAGTTCCTCTCTAAGATGGCACCTTGGTACTTGGGGGTCACTTCTTTCATAGAACAACAGAAAATTATGGTTGGAAGGGGCCTCAGGAGGTCATCTAGTCCAACCCCCTGCTCAAAGCAGGACCATCCCCAACTAGATAATCCCAGCCAAGGCTTTGTCAATCTGGGTCTTGAAAACCTTCAAGGATGGAGACTGCAGCACCTCTCTGGGTAACCTGTTCCAGTGTTTTACTACCCACCTAGTGAGGAAATTCTTCCTAATATCTAACCTAAACTTCGCTTGCTGCAACTTGAGACCGTTGTTCCTTATTCTGTCACCTGCCGCTACTGAGAACAGTTTAGCTCCATCCTTTTTTGAACCCCTCCCTTCAGGTAGTTGAAGACTGCTATTAAGTCCCCTTTCAGTCTTCTCTGCTTTCAGGGAACTGTACTGCTTCCTGATATGGCTGACCTAAAAAACATCTTGGTCGCTAGTGTTCTGCTGTTGACTGGTGCCAAAGCTGCTAGGTCTGGTCTTGATAGTAATTGCACCATAGAGATTCAAGCATTGTGTGGCTGCATTATGAAGCACAGGACATACAGGCGTGATCAGAATGGGTGGCTGCAAGCCTCAGACTTTTCCAGGAGGTGGAGTTTCAATCCCAATCCTGAAATTCACAAAGTACATCTACTCAGCTTGCATTATTCCAATAGAACAAAGTACCTGCAGCTTCTGATCCTTGAGATTTTTATCCACCACAGAACAAGCAAGACTTAAGCCTGAAGTTTATTCAGTCCACCTTTTTGCAGTGCTCAGAGGTACCTGAACTGGCTAGGTTCCATCTCACTGCCTTGGGCAGTAAGGGAACTGAGGTTGAGTTGTTTCTTTATATCCCGCTTAAGGGCAACTCTTGAAACTGCTAGTCAAAATAAATAATCTGGTATCTGTGCATGATACACATACCCGCCTACAGCAGGATCCATATCAAGATATGCTCCAGGAAGAACAGTTTGGGGAATCAATTCTTAGTGAAGCAACTGCCTTTCTATAGCTGTGGCCTCAGAAGGGGGCAATGCGTGGAGATGCACCCTCTGCAAAAAAAGGCGCTGCCAACACCGTTGGTGGTGCCTGTGGGTGGTCACCGCTCACCACCTGGTGGCGTCTGTGGGCAGTTCATGATCACCCCTGGCCGCCACCACCACTGCCAGTGGGTGGTCGCCAACCCATGGTTGGCACTCGTCAGCCCCCCCACCCCCCCCCAGT